AAAAAAAAAAGAAAAGATACAAACTGCAGTAGTGAACAAATATTTATATTAAAAACTCACCTTTTCAAGAAGTACTACACCAGAAATTGAGGAATGGATGTTTGACATGCAAAAAAATTGAGTAATCAAGTCAGACAAGTATGGCTAAAATAAATATCAGCAAGTAGAGATCCAAGGTTCAATTTATCTGCCATTAGTATGCTTACATATTTGTATTTTAGCACCACATATTTGTCCACTAGCACTGAAGTGGATTTGAATTAATTCTCCCTGCACAAACATTTCTTATGTCACCAAGCTAGGTTTCTTCTGTTCATCGCTAAATATTGTTAAGTATAAGAGAACTCACAAATCTGCTGGAGTTGTTATTCCAGGCTGTTTTTGCATTGCCGAATGCCTCCAGTATACAGCTTGCTTCCAAGATGTCAGCCCCTATTCCACCACCACCCCCATTAATTGCTGCCAAATATTTCATCGCAATTTTAGCTGTTACAGTCTTCCCAGCCCCACTCTCTCCACTAAAAGTATAAGAAAAATAAATTTTATTTTCTTAATCAAATTTACAAACTACATTATTAAATTACCAAAGCATTTAATAAAGTAAAGTGAGGCCAACAAAACAGGGCATGCTAGGGGGAACTGTTTACAGAAAATGAAAGAGGCAGGGACTAACCTTATAATGATAGATTGATTTGTTTCCTCTGCAAATTGCATAAAGTATCATCAAGGTATGAGATTAGCACTTCAAAACTGCAGTGACGAGCCAAAAACAGTGAGAACATAATTGAAACACTTAGATATTGCTTATTACCTGTCATCATTTCGCTGTATGCTGCATCAGCAACAGCATAAACATGAGGACTGTCCAAAAGCCTCTGTCTGTAAGCTGTAACAATGTCATCCCCATATAGCTGGACGTCTTTCAAAGGATTGACTGCCACCAATATGGGGCCTGCCTTACTCTACATAGACCAATAAAATGTAGGGTTCAAGGGCTTGGAAGCAAAGAGCTAAAAGTAACTACCCAATTACCACTTACATATATAATGTCTTTCGAGTATCTGTAATGAAGATTGTGTAGAACTGAAGGCTCGTTCAAATAACTAAGCTGCAAAAGATCATCCACTCCATCGAGAATGTCAGCATTGGCAGGTAAGAGCTCTTGTATGGAAACAGTCACAACCTAAGTGAAATAGTAATTTATCAGTAAGTACAAGGATACAGTTTAAAGCTCAAACATGATATTATAAAAAGAAAGAAACCAAGTGAACTAACACTTCCATCCAAGAGCAGAACAAAAGCTTTCTCCCCTGAAATTGATTTTAATTGCCCAGATTTCCAGACACCATTATGTGGTTGACACCAAACACGAAGTTTCTGAAAGCACAAAATTGTTCAAGGTAAGTGGCCAATGAGCAATTCTATGCTGCACCACTATGTGTACATGCTAGATAATTTGGAAAAAAAGATGGCATGACTCTTTGACCGTTGTTACAACTTACAACTAACCCATGAATGAATCCAACTATTCCATTAAGAGTGTCCGTCACACTTGAATAAAATGAAAGGCTCTTTTACATGCTGAAATAAGATTATATTGTTTCAAAATGCCATTTTTTTGCTTTCGATTTTGCAAAATTTAGTTAGATCAGTGGACAGGGTGCTTTGGATTTCTAGTTCTGATTCAGTTTACTCTTTATTCACAAGTAAAGCACTTCTGGAACTTGTTTTCGAATTCTCCTATTACAAGCCAGACTTTCAGCGAAACACTAATTCTCTATAATTCTTAACTTATGCTGCAGTATAACTCCTCATATAGCAAGAGACCTTACAAACACTCCCCAAATGTACCAGATATCCCGAATAAAGGTTATTTTTATATCGATATCATGCATGTCAACAGTACCCTATGAAATGCTTCTGTGTCCCTTATGATATTTGACAAAACAAACGAAACAAGACATATACAGAGGTATGAAAATAAGTGGACAAGGAAAGTAGGGCATGAATTATGCTATACCCACAGTAGAGTAAAACCCATAGCTCTGAGTTTCACATTTCCAGAGACACTCTTATCTAGGTAAGGGAATGAGAGCTAATGACCAGACATCAACTATCTAGACTTGTTAACAACTTATGATCTCAAAACTAATACTTCCCTACAACAGCAGCAAAAAATAATTATGACCCTTTTCATCAAATTTCAAGCATGTCTTACAAATGAAACAAGACCGCATAAAAAATTCATATGATAATCTACATGATTATGTGGAATCATTCTAAACAGTTTAAAACATAAGAAATGAGAAAATAAATCATAGAATTCATGATTCATTTGAAGACCCAGGCCAAAATCAGTGTGTTTTTCACCTGAATACATATACAACAACGAATGTACAGAAGAACTATCATAAATATCAGCAGTCAAGGAACAAAGCCAAGCAACACTGTCACCTTTTCAATGAAATAAGACATGTTATCATACAACTGGCTGGGCTCCTTCTCTTCTGACTCTGCCAGCGCAAATACATAAGGTGATTCCCCCAATCCCGCACCTCTAACTATTCTAGCCCCAAAACTGTTCTTCTCCCTTCCTTTTCCTTCTCCTTCCTTCTCACAAAAACTCGACAGGCTCTGAGCCGGTCCGGATTCATGATCGGCTCCAAAACTGGTTGGCAAGGGACGCTTGGCTGATGGAAGGCGGGCCCGATATGTCGGTTTGGGCCGGGCTGGTAGAGCCGGCGGCAAGTCCTTGGGCGTCTCGTTCTCTTCGTTCCGCTGGAGAGAATCCAGCATCTCCTCTAAGGAGCTCCGAGTTCTAGAATTTAATGATACAGAAATCATTTCCAACTTCTTTCTTTTTTTTTTCACTCAAATTTCTAGCAAATCAATAGAAATCATCTGATAAACCCCGATAAATCTTTGCTTCCTTGAAGCTCCGAACAATGCCGAGTTGACGCCGTTCAAGCCATTGATCTTAGAGCCTTGGCTTATAATTCTCCGGATTTGAAGACTGGATTGAAAGTGATGACCCAAACCAAAAGCAATTAATTTATCCAAGAACCAAAGAAGAAGCAAACTCTGGAGCTTGTCCGACAACCGAAAAGCTTGTGTCAGAATTGTGAAAATGAAGTATGAGAAAAGTAAACTCAGGTTTTGTGGCTGGTAACGAGGTTCGCTGACCTTGAGAGAGACATTAATGGCGAACAGCTGACTGAGATGATTTTATCTGGATGAGCGAGCGAGCGAGCTGATTTTTATTATTAGGAACTGAAGCATCAGATTTCAAATTTAGGAAATGAAGAATTTCAGGGCCCGAAATTAAAATTAGCACCATCGCGATCGGATAGGATAAACAGTATAAAATCTACTTTTTGAAATTTGAATTTTTAGGAACAAAAATATAATAATTATTAAGACATGAACTGTTTGTTAGTGGCGGGCCCCGGTTAGGAAGAGAGAGTTTCTATGCAATGCTTACTTACTGTTTACTCTGGTACCATTATAATTATTACTCCATGCGATTTACGAGATAGAGATATTAAATGAGTTATTTTTATAGACTCGGACTGTATAAGTCTAAAAAATAATATGATTATCATATATTTTCTACTTTTTTTAATCAGGGTTATAATAAAAAAACAATAAGATTATAATTTATTTTTCACATCTTTTAATAATCGTTGTTTTTTTAGCAAGAACATTAAATATGAACATGTTATGGCTAACATGTAAAATAAATATGAGACCAACAGGGGTTGGCTCAAGAGGTAAGCAACTTGATGTCGCTTAAGCAAGGTCTCGGGTTCGAGTCCTTGTGGATGCAGAAAACCCTTATTGGGAGACTTACTGAAGACGAGCTCGTGAGGATAAATAACACTGCATGTCAGCTTTAAAATAATTATGTACTTTGCCTATTTAATTTTTATCCTTTAATTAGTTATCTAAATAATTTATTAGGTGATATTTATCTATGGACTTGTTTAGCAAGTTAAGAGTTCCATAGAATTTAGGAGTCTCGTAGGAGATTATTTATGCGTTTTCTTTTGGTTGGAACGGGGGGTTTTTATGAATAAGAAATATTTCTCGTGAGATTTTGATCTCTTTCCCTTGTCGATAGCTGCGCTACATCAGTTGGTATTCAGAGACCAGCTACGATCCGAGATGCCTCCGAAACAGAACGAGATTGATGATCGACGAGACGCAGCGATGGAGTCCATGATGCGCCGGTGTGATGCGTCTGATCGTCTATTGGTCGAACTTACTTCGAGGGTCGAGGAATTAACGTTGGCTTTCAATGCCAATCGGGACGGCGAGCTCGATAACCGTGACATGGCTGACAGACGCGGCGGTCGCGGAGGCCAACGCGGTGGTCGAGGAGGACGAGGATTCGGCGGGGCGCCCCGCCACCGTTCACCACCACCGTTCGATGATGAGGAACATGACGACGATGACACCTTCTCGGAGGTGAACCCGTTTGGGGAACGCAGAGCTCCACGGGAAGTGAACCGCGTCGGCGACCAACGCTGGGAGGCTTCGTTTCGAGTCGATATTCCAGAGTTCACAGGCGGCCTCGACGCGGCAGAGTTTCTCGATTGGATGGCAGCGGTTGATTCTATCCTCGAGTATAAAGAGGTGCCAGATGATCGTCGGGTGGGCCTCGTCGCCACACGTCTGCGTGGCCGGGCGGCCGCGTGGTGGCAAACTCATAAGGAAACGCGGCGGCGGCGGCTCGAGAAACCGAGGGTTTCGTCGTGGGGCAAATTTTGCAAGCATATACGACGTGAATTTCTACCATTCAATTTTACTCGCACCATGTACCAACAACTTCAGAACCTACGTCAAGGAGCCAGATCAGTGGACGAATATACTGATGAATTTTACCGCCTTCTCAACCGGGTGGATATTCGAGAGACAAACGAACAATTGGTATCTCGTTATATTGGCGGCCTACGATTGGCTATTCGGGACACTCTAAACCTCTTTACGCCGGAGAACGTTTCAGAAGCTCATCAACGTGCTCTGCTTGTGGAGCAACAAGGGGCTCGTCGGGCGGGCCCGACTGTGACTCAATCACCCCGCACAGTTTCTTCGCAGGTTTCATCGGGGGGTCAGGACGGCCAGACGGCTTCCGCAGGCCAACAACATATTCACAGCGTCGGACCGGGCCTGGGTGGAGCTTATGCTGCGGCGGGCTCTTCATCGACGACCACAGGTGTAGTCACACAGGCTGCAACGGCTGGAACCTGTCAGGGCGGCGGGCTACGGTGCTTTGCGTGTGGGGAGACGGGGCACAGACAGGTCGTGTGTCCTCGTTGGGCCGATGCACGGGCCCTAATTGCCGGGGATGAGAATGTCGTTGACGACGGTGACATTTATGCAGCCCCACCTATTTTTGACGAGGAACCAGCGGCACCGGAGGAACACATGTTCGGCGATGTCGGTCATGCCCTTCTTCTTCGCCGCTCGTATTTATCGCCCCAGGCCGCATCTGAGGAATCTATTCGATTTTGTTATCTCGGATGTGTTGTGGCTGAAGGAGAAAAGGCTGAAGATTTGGGCGTTGCGGGCCAGACCTCTGTCTACAATGAATATTTCGGCGGCCATGAGAATTCAACGGTGGATTCTGGAGGTGTACATGAAGCAATTTCGACGGTTAATTATTCTGATCCAAATGAAATTCATGAAGAAGAGTTGGATGTTGTTCTGACAGAGTGGGACTTGTCATTGGCGAAGGTTGCGGTACTCGGGGACTGGAAAGCAGACGTGGGGACTTGGAAGTAGCTTTGGAAAGTAGCACGGGTTTGGAGAAGTCGAATTACGAGTTGCAGAAGGATTTTGAGGCAGTTAAAGCAAAGACAAATGAGAAGAGTATTGAGCTTTCTAACCTTGTGGCTAGTGGGATGTTGCATGTTCATGTTGGCCATATTCTTCATTTTAAAATTAAAATCCTTGCTCACGTGGTCAATTCCATCCATATAGCAGGTGGGCATGTTTTACAACATCAATATATTATTCATTCTATGTATCGGTTCGTTGGACTTCCTGCCATAGTTTTGTCATTCAAAGAAATGCTGAAAGAGGACTTCTTGGAGGTGTTACAACGGAAGCATGTGGCTACACGTGCCAGTTTAGAAGAGACGAAGGTTACGCCTAGACAACATGAGGATGCCCGTGGACGACATATGGTGTTCGACGTGGGCGATTTCGTGTGGGACATTTTGCCAAAGGACCGATTCTCGGCTAATGCTTATAATAAGTGGGACGTTCGTCAAGTCGGCCCCGTCAAGATAACCGGGCAGGTACATCAGGACGCCTACCGCCTACATTTGTCGTCTCATCTTCGCACTTCGGTCGTATTAAACGTCCCACACTTGGTGCCATATCTGGCCGACAAATCACATGACGACGAGCTCGGGTCGGATTCGAGGGCGAATCCTTGTCAACTGGGGGAGGATGATAAAGACGAGCTCGTAAGGATAAATAAGACTGCATGTCAGCTTTAAAATAATTATGTACTTTGCCTATTTAATTTTTATCCTTTAATTAGTTATCTAAATAATTTATTAGGTGATATTTATCTATGGACTTGTTTAGCAAGTTAAGAGTTCCATAGAATTTAGGAGTCTCGTAGGAGATTATTTATGCGTTTTCTTTTGGTTGGAACGGGGGGTTTTGTCAATAAGAAATATTTCTCGTGAGATATTGATCTCTTTCCCTTGTCGATAGCTGTGCTACATCACTCACCCACCACTGCCAGGTGTGGTACCCGAGTCGACCAACGGATTAGTCGGAGCATAGCTCTGAATACCGTGGCTGGCTACCAAAAAAAATAAATATGAGCATGTTAGGGCTAACTTGTAAAATTATTATCTACTACTATAAAATAGAGTTAAGAAAAAAATAAATTTTTAGTAAGTTTTTTCCCTCCCAATTTTTTCGAAAATTACCTGTTATGGAAACTTTTTTTGAAATTTTTTCATTTATCCCGCCTAACTAAATAATTTGATTTTTAATGGAATTTTATGGAAATCGAATTGATATATTTTAGGATGAGATTTGGTTGTTTTTTGTGAAACCCGATTTTCACTTGCATTTCACCTATTATAACTCTTTTTCTTTAGGATAAGATTTGTTACCTTTTTTTGAAATCCGATTTTTATACCACGTACGCTTTATTTCACTTGCTTTTCCTTTTTTTTTTTGGATGGGATGAGATTTGGTACATAAAATAATACACTAAATATGAAAAAAAAAAATCGGATTACAAACAAATTTCAATAATCCTATATAAATCCATCATTCGTTTACAATTGCTTCTTCACTTCTCTTCCGAAATCATCCTGAAAACATAGACACACACATGATTAAAAAACAGAAAAAAACAATGCGACCAGTGTTTGACAGACTCCACGCGGTTACTAGGGTGAACAAGCCTTTTTTAAATTAAAGGCAGTTCTAATTGTTGAAACCCATTACGAATTGGAGACAAAGAATTTATGTGCTATCATATTTGAAGATCAAGAGGTAATTTTTTCTATGCTATATGTATAAATTACACTCTTACGAATTTAATTAATTTAATTTGTACAAATTTATATTGTAGGGTGCACAAATAAGTGGTTTGTACGTTACACACAATTGATCTTATTCCGAGATGTCTTTAAAGAAACTATGGACTGAAACCCAATAATGGGCGGCAAGGGCAACCCCCCACAGTGAAGGGTACTAACCTATGAACTTTTCTGGAAATACACCAAATCTATGATTTCTCTTCAATTCATATTCAGTTTTTTAAAACCCTCTACAATTTTGGAATGAAGCAACTCAAAGGAGACAAATCG